ATGAAGCATAGTGCCTGACACATGGAAGTGCTAGGTATAGTGATTAGTCACTGTAATGAGGTATTTGTCAGATTTAACAATGCCACAGGAGCAAAATCTCTGCAGTTTTTACATGTTAATTTTATGGGTGCTATTTCTGTTAACTTTCAAAACCATTTGCACCTACTATTTTATGTGATATTTTGATCATAAAATAGTAGGTTCTTTTCATAGTTATGTAGAACTGAATTGGCTAACTTCTCAGTGTTCTACTTGTAATTTTATAGTGACAAAGTGGGCTCAAATTGGAACTATCGCTTACGTGGCTTTCTTTTATTATATGATGCAAGATGCTTGTATCACAAAATGAATTCAGAATGCCTCTGTCTAAATCTTCAGGAGTCAAATCAGAGTTAACTATCAGGTAGAGAAAAGTCATAAAACTAAAACTGATACATAGTTTCCAAGGGATACTTGTAAAATAAATTTTTGTAAATGATAAGGTATCCTATACACCATTTTACTACCTATGCCTATTCCCAGATTTCACTTAAGAAACATTATAAATTTATAGCCTGACCACATTGTGCCCTAAACATTAAAGGCAGACCATATTGTAGGGATTTCATTTTAACCACAGAGAAATTGTACCAAGCGCAAAACCGCAGAACCAAGTAAGTAGTAGATCCGGGAATAGAATTGAGAAGGCTCTGATTCCTCCTCACATACTGAGACCACAGAGTTCTGCTCCTTCTGAACGTAATGACAGCTTATCCAATGCTGCTAGACCACCAGTATATGATACATTAGGAGCAAACCATATGCCAGCACTCTCCAAAGGCTCACAGGCTTTACTTTCTAAAGGCCTACTTTGAAACCAGAGAAGTAGGAGGAACCATACAAGCATCTCCTGATTATTGACTAATACTTGTGTTTGGGGTACTTAGTTGCTATAACAAAGTTTGCTTCTCAGCTAGGTTGTAAAAAAGTAGTAATTTGTAACCATAGAAATGGTTTTACCAGTTTTTAGTAACATTTTTGTAATTACCAATACAGCTAGCTAAAGAGTTTCCTTGGAGAATGAATGGCATCATACATAAAAGGAGTAGAAAAATTTTATATTTCCTTTAAGAATTGACCCCACTATCCCATTTTACTTTTAAATTTTTGCTTCTTTTTGTCTTTAGTGATTTACAGAGCACTGAAATGGTTGTTTTAAATATTTTGTCTTGTAATATTATTGCTGTTTGGAGAATGAATTTGCCAACCTCTTCACTCTGTCATGCTAGAAGTAGACTTATTTTATTACTATTTTGGATAAAATTTGCTTGGATAAAAATTGCTTGTATTTCTGTATGTTTTACCATTTTATTATATATAGATCTTTTAAACTGGGATTATTTTCATTCTTTCTGAAATATACGTTTTAGAAGTTTCTTTAGCAAAAGTCTTTTGATTTTTATTTATCTAAAGATATCTTCATTTTAACCTTACTGTTGAAGAATAGCTTTGTCTAGGATAGCAGTTATTTTCCCCTAGCCCCTTGCGGGTTCTGTAGCCTCTAGGCTTCACAACCACTTTGTGAAGTAAGTAGTTGTTATTCTCATCTCATAGATGAGGAAACAGGCACACAGGTGTACTATATCCATTTTGCTCAGTAATGATAGTCTAACAGTAATGATTAGTCTTACTAAACTATCAAGAAAAAAATACTTCTCTGCTTTAATTCCTATAGCTTTATAGTAACTTTAATATTTAGTACTGTTAATCATCTGTATTACCTGCCTGTGGCTTCTATTGCTACTATTAAATAATTTTTTAAAATCTGGTGGCTATAGAGTACTTACGTGTCAGTCATTGTATTGAGCACTTACTTTTATGACTTCATTTAATCCTGCCAACAACCTTATGGTAATAGGCTGTTACTATTCTCATTTTTCTGTTAGGAAATCAGAGGCACAGAACAGTTAAGGACACATAGTATGTAAGGATGACAAGATTCATCCCAGGAGCTCTGACTCCAGAGCCTATACTTGTAAACCAGTATGACAGCCAAGTAAATACTTTAAAAGAATGATAAAAGATGATTAATAGTACTAAATATTGAAGTTACTATAACGCTATAGGAATTAAAGCAGAGAGATATTTTTTTCTTGATAGATTATTAAGACTAATAATTACTGTTAGACTATCATTACTGAGCAGTACCAATGTGGTATACCTGTGTGCCTGTCTCCTCATCTATGAGATGAGAATAATAATAGTACTTACTTCATAGAGTGGTTGTGAAGAGTAAGTGTGTGTGTGTGTGTGTGTGTGTGTGTGTAATATAAAGTGAAAACATTTGTTGTCATCAGCAGTAGTAGAATAAAATAGAAAAGCACAGAAACAGACCCTACTATATATATATATCAGAATATAGTATCTAATTACACGTGATTAGGAGAAGGATGGACTACCACCTATGTACTGGCATAGGTGGGTGATTATATAGAAAACAGAAATTTTGATATAGCTTGTTTTTTTAATCTATGGCCTAACAGTAAAAGTATACTGGATTTAGAGGTTAACTATTTTCTAAATCTATGATATAATTTGAGGAAATTTTTGATTAATAGTTAAATAAATATATGTAGAGGAGACTGTTGTAAGCATTTCATCAAAGGAGAAACCATAAATAAAAGGATTGAAAAATCTGACCACATAAAAGTTTAAAATTTATTTGGTGAAAACAATTAGGAACACTGTCTAAATAACTAATGGCACAGTGTACTAGATTAGAGAAACCATTTGCAACATAATTGTCATGAAATAATAAAACAACTATAACAATAGAAAAATGAATAAACATAGACTCTTCCAGAAAGAATTTAAAATGACCAATAGACATAGAAAAAGGTGCTAGGCTACAATAGTAATAATAAAAACTAAAAATAAAAAGTTAATACAGCTAGTGCTCGACTTATGACCACGGTCGGGACCACGGACCAGTCGTAACACGATTTGGTCGTAAGTTGAGTAGGCTATATGTACAGTTGAAATGGTGCACACGGAGATGGTAGTGCTGCTGGAAGTTGGTCCGCACTGTCGTACGCCCAGCTGGGCAACGTTTGCGCTGCCAGACGCAGAGCAGTCGTGGCTAGCGATTATGGTTGTAAAGTCGAATGGTCATAAGTTGCATAGGTGGTAAGTTGATCAATACCTGTACCAGTTTTCACCTGTCACAGTAATTTAAAAAGATAGTCTATCCAGGATAAATATATAATTATATATAAATTAACTTAATGGAAGGGAAATAACAGACTTACAGAATTTTTTTAATTGTATCAGAAGAAAAAGAGAGAAAGCTCATCTGCCTTGTGATATCAGGGGGTGGTAGTTTGAGACTGTTCCTGAATTACAATGTTGACAAGAAGTGATAAATGAGTGCAGCGTTTAACATTCTCTTTTCTGGAGGTTTGACATTCAGGGGAAGAAAGATAAGTAGCTATAGGTTTGATTTTGCAGTGGTCAAGGGAGGTGGTTTTAAACTCAGGTAGTCCTGAAAATGCTTGAGGACAGGAAAGGACCAGTGGAAGAGGAGGAATTGAAGCTGTCAGTATAAAGAGGTGCTGTTGATTCAGTAAGGTCCATAGAGAGATTAGAAACAAGGAAGCAAGAATCATTCTCACAAGTTGAGGAATAACTTAGAAATAAAAGTACAAAATATTTTAATGTAGGGGAAAAGTAAGAAGGCTAATATTGTTTTCTCTAGCATTGATCTTAATGAGGTAGTGACTGGTAAGAGACTTGGGAGACCAGGAGAATAAAAGAAGGTTCGTAAAAGCTGCTGCTATGGTCTAATCATTACTATTACATGTTAAGTTTTATCTGTTGAGATGTAGTCCCCATTGTGAAAATATTAAGAGATAGGGCCTTTGGGGAAGTGATTAAGCCATGAGGACTCATCCTTCATGAATCTTTTATCAGTGCCCTTATAAAAAAGGCTGAAGAAAGCATGTTTACTTACTCCTTCTGCCATGCAAAGATGTAACTAAAAGCCACTATCTATGGGAAAAGGGTCCTCACCAGACACAGAATCTGCTAACACCTTAATCTTGGACTTTCAGCCTCCAGAGCTGTGGAACAGTAGATTTTTATTGGTTATAAATTACCCAGTCAAAGATATTTTCTGATAGCAACTGCTATGGGTATTGTGTTGTGGACCAGTAACAGAGGAAAACAAGTATTTCAGGACTTTATTGAGATCCTGGCTGAGATTCAATAGCATTGATTTATGTGCTATCTTAATAGAAAAAGAGCTTCATAGTGATAAAGAACAAAGGGACAAGGAAGTGTTAGGAGACAGCCAGCACACTGTTGAAATAACTGTCTTTAGCATACAGAGATGAAGCTAGATGGGAGGAGTGGAAGGGCCACAAGGAAGATCTGACCGTATCTTTCACCATACCCTTACATATACTACCACTTTATAGCCTAATAGGGCTTTTAAACCATTTTTTAAACAATTTTTTCTTTTTCATCTTTCACCTGAGTTATTTTGCTTCTGTTTTTCCTCAGCTTATAAAACCCCCCATCTCTACTTTTGGAATCATAACTATTCATTAAAACTTAGTTCATTTGTTGCCTTGTCTTTGATCACAACCAGAAGTGATATCTGTCCTCTGAAAACCTATTATTCCTTATTCATACCATCTTTATGTTACTTCTCATTTACTTCGAAAAGAGTTTTGTTTCTACTAAAAGTTAAATTCCTTAAAGAAAGGGAACATATTTTGGTCATTTTATGTTATTTCACGGTGCCAACACAATGAATTTTCCATGGTAAGCAGGTAGTAAATATTTGCTGAACAGATATTATATTGCATATTTATACTAAGCAGCAAGATAGAACCTTTAAAAGGAAATAATGTTTTCCTATTTCTATGGGCTAATTTTAAAAGTTTTTTTTTTATTTTTTTAAGTTTATCTTCAAATAGTATTTTATTAGCTCTTTTAATATGAATGTTTTTGTCCCATAGGTATGGCATGAATTGCCTTATTCAGTTTGAAGATTTTGCCAATGTGAATGCATTTCGTCTCCTGAACAAGTACCGAAACCACTATTGCACATTCAATGATGATATTCAAGGTAATGAAAATTTCACTGCTATGGATCAATAACATATCTGAAATTAGTTCATAATTTTATAAAGATTCAAATTAAATCAATTATACTGAGTACCTTTTAAATTCCAGGAATTATGCTTGTTGATGTCACATATTATTTCTCATCTAGCTGCATATATTTGAGGAAAGTACTCTCTGACTCTAGAATATACCATATTGTCTATTAGCTAGAAAATGAGCTCCAAGAAATCTGACAAAATCCCTGGTGATTATGCCTAAACAAAGAATGAAATGTATGAGACCATGTTATTCATTGTTTAAAAATGAAAGTGTATTTACTTCTCTCTTCAGCCTCATCACAGTCAGCCAATTTGTACCCTAGTAGGAGCCGCCTTTATATGGCGTGCCGCATTTTACTATTTGTCTTTGATTTTAGATGCTTGGCTACCTGCCTTTGTCTAAGCTGCTGAATTTTTTCCCCTTTAAGCTCTATTTTTTTAATCCTCTACAGATCCATGCAGAGCCCACCCCCTATACACATGTCTTACTATGAGAATCTTAGGGATCCTGTTTCATTATTGGAAGGTAGGGGGAAAGCACAGACAGATGTCCTGAGGAGAAAGACCATAAAGAGTTTTTGTAACCTGAAATAAGATTTAAAATGTTTCCATTTCACTAATTTTAATGCATGTTTTCCAGTGTTTATCTTACTTGATTCTCAGCAGCATTCCACATTGTTGACTCACCTTGTTTGTTGAAATACTCTGTGCTGTTGGCTTCCATGTCACAGCATTCTGCTGATTTCTTCTTACCTCTTTGGCTGTTGGCCTTTTCTTTTTCTTCTGCAAGTTAATTCTTTCCTGTCTAGCTGTTAAATGACAAAACACTTCATTTTTAAATGACCCACTCAGTGCCAGGTCATTTACTTTTTGTTCTGGTTTATGTTGTTAGGTATCTACTCCAAGTCCACAGATTCAGTTAGCAGATTTATATTGCCAGTCCAGACTTCTTTGTGTTCCAGGTCTATATACCCATCTCTTTATTTAAAATCTCCTCTTCAGCACCTGTAATCCCAGCACTTTGGGAGATCAAGACAGGCAGATCGCTTGAGCCTAGGAGTTCAAGACCATCCTGGGCAACATGGCAAAACTGTCTTTACAAAAAAGTACAAAAATTAGCCCAGCATGGTGGTGTGCACCAGTAGTCCCAGCTACTCCAGAGGCTGAGGTGGGAAGGATTGGATCTCTTGAGCCCAGGAGCTTGAAGCTGCAATAAGCCGTGTTCATGCCATTGCACTCCAGCCTGTGTGACAGAGCAAGGGCCTGTCTCGAACAGCAACAACAACAGCAACAACAACACAACTCCTGTTGGATATCTCAAAGTTATCTCATACTTAACCTACTCCCATATCAAACTCTTATTTCAGAACCATACCTGACCTTCTTCCAGTGTTCTTTTCAGTGAATTCTGATAGTTCCCTCTTCAGCTTTCCCACCAAATACAGTCTATCACTAAATCTTTCCCATTTCTTATCATAAAAATCTGCATTTTCCATAGATTTCTCCTTATCACCCTAGTGTAAATTACTATCATCTAAGAAATCTATCCACATTTACTCTTGCTTCCCCTTCTTATATGTTTTCTGCATAGTATCTCTACAGTTTGTCAGATATAGATCTAAGTAAGTGCTGAGTCTTTTGTGGTGAACAGATAATTTTCTTTTGATTGTAGAAATCCGATCATATTATTTCTTCCTCAAAATAATTTAATGGATTGTCATTGTACTTAGGATAGAGATGAAAATCCTGAATGTGGCCCAAAATGCATGGGCTGACCCCTGTTTTTCTCTTCAGCCATTCTAGCCACACATCCTTTCTCAGGTCCTGAAATGAGCCAGGTTTCTTTCTATTAAGGGTCTATCCAAATGTTGATCTCTCGTCCTAGAATACCCTTTCTTCCCCTCTTCAAATTTCATCTCAAATATAACCATTCCTCAGTAAACCCTTCTGAATTTCTGTATCTGGGTCAATTCCACCTCATAGGCTGCCATAGAACTAATTATTTTCTTTTTTGCTTATCATAGTAGCATTGTTATATATTTATGCAATTTTTTTTCAGATAGAGTCTTGCTCTGTTACCCAGGCTGGAGTACAGTGGCACAGTCTTGGCTCACTGCAACCTCTGCTCCCAGATTCTCCTGCCTCAGCTTCCTGAGTAGTTGGGATTACAGGCACCTGCTCTATGCCTGGCTAATTTTTGTATTTTTACCATAGACCAGTTTTTGCCACATTGGCCAGGCTGGTCTCGAACTCCTGACCTCAAGTGATCTGCCTGCCTCAGCCTTTCAAAGTGCTGGGATTAAAGGCGTGAGCCACCACACCTGATGTATTTATGCAATTTTAAAAAATTAATATTTCAATCCCAACTAAATTGTAAGCTCTATGAAGGCAGGGAACATGACTGTTTTGCTCATCACTATATCATTAACTTGTCACTAACACAGCCCTAGGCCCATAGAAAGTACTTAATATTAGTGGAACGAATCAATATAATATGTCTAAAGCAGGCAAACTACAGCCTGTGAGCCAAATCTAGCCCACTGCCTGTTTTTGTAAAGTTTATTGCAATATAGCCATGCCCATGTGTTTATATATTGCTTACAGTGGCTTTCATGCCATAATAGCAGAGTTAAGTCTGGGATAGACACTGTATGGCACAGCCCTAAAATATTTACTATCTCGCCCTCTATGAAAAGAATTTGCCAACCTTTGGTCTAAGGGATTAAAGTTGAAGGAGTTGGTGAAATTTGAACTAAGGAGTTGGAAGGTTGGCTTGGGTAGGTTTGCATTTGGAAAGATCACTCACACTGTCTTCAATCTAGAGAACAGAATGAATTGGAGCAAATTTGAAGGCTGTTGCAGAAATCCATGATGATGGCATCTTGCTCTAAGAAAGTGCCAGTGAAGATGGAAGTAGACAGATAATTAGTTATTGATAGTAAAGGTCAGGAAGGAGCCTAGGATTCTGCCTTGAATAACCAGAAGAATTGTAGGGGAGTAACTGAGATGTATAAAATGAGAGACACTCTTACAGGTAGATGTTAAGAGCATGGACTTAGGAGTCATAATGATTTGCTTTGCCCCTTAGTAGCTGTGGACTTTGACCAATTTAGATAACCTCTCTGTGTTTTAATTCCTTTCCTATGGCAGAAAGTTACACAACAGTTTCTATTTTTTCTTTGAAACAACAAATCAGAAGTTTGTGGAAGACAAAAAAATATATCTAATAGCCTGTAATTTTTCTTTGAAATAACAGGATTGGAAATTTGAGGAAAATGAAAAACAGATCTGAAAGAACTATTGTAGAGGACAAGAGAGCCACTGACTGTGAAACATATAAGGATTCAGTTAGTGGACGTTGCAGATTCAGTTGAAATTAGTACTGTAAATATATCATGATGCCTGTCTGAGCAGCTTGAGTTTAACAGTTCAGGAATAGGTAAGGCCATAATGAACAACTGGATTCATCTACATTAGAAATTTTATTGTATTTATGCAAAGAAAGGACAACGGGATAAGAGCTAAGGTTAAAATGATGATCATGACACTAAGCTGGATAGGGAAGGAAGTGAAGATAAGAAGATTGTTAGATAGGGGAAAAGGCCTAGACATTTCAATGGGTTTGAAGAATGGGTATAATAAGGATAATTGAATAAAAGACCTGGGAAGATAGGAGGTTGTAGACCATACATGAAAGTAATTGGTCAATTCTTTCTTTTCCCCAAATTCTTTGTGATATCAATTACATTGTTCCTTTAGTGCCAATTTTCATGACAAAGATGCTTAAGTTATTTAAGCTTTGTTTTATTCTTTTTCATATTAAATTTCTTATTGAGTGTTCATAAAAAGTGAGTATTTGGAGATTTCAAAAATAAAATAATCTCAAAATTTACAGATGTTAAGAATTATGAGCTATAGAAAGACAGCCAGATTTTAATGTTATTTTTATTAGTCCATTTTCCCACTGCTACAGAGAACTTTCCTGAGACTGGGTAACTTATATAAAGGAAAGAGGTTTAATTGACTCAGTTTCTCACGGCTGGGAGGCCTCAGGAAACTTACAATCATGGCAGAAGGCAAAGGGATAGCAAGCGCCTTCTTCACAAGCCAACAGGAGAGAGACAAGAGAAGGAGGAACTTCCAAACACTTGTAAAACCATTAAGTCTCATGAGAACTCTCTATTACAAGAACAGCTTGAGGGAACTGCCCCCATAATCCAATCACCTTCCTCCCTTGACACGTGGGGACTACAGGTCCCTCCCTCAACTCGTGGGGATTACAATTTGAGGTGAGATTTGGGTGGGGACCCAGAGCCAAACCATATCGGTATTGCACACTAACTTGAAGATACCATGTATAATAATTATAGAGTGCCTTTGTTGCTACAAACACATGCTTTGTAGACCAGTGTTTTGAAGTCACTTATCAATTCATTTTGTACTGTTCTCTGAAACAGTTACCAGTAAACTGTTGAACAAACCTATAGAATTCTTTTAATATTATATATCTTTTGATTTTGTGGGTCTCATGTAAATGTCCATACAAAGTCCATAAATGTCCATAAAATGTCCATCTGGTTAAAGACCAGTATTAAATAATTTTGAATCATCATGTAGAGTTAATGGGAAACAGAGTTCAGTTTAAGAAAAAGAATGCTAAATTCAAATTATCAAACAAAACCAAACAACTAGGGTCAGGATTTTTATCCATAAAGGCCAGGAATTTACAGGTCAGGCTCTGGGTACATGAGAATGAAAGCCTGGAGCACAAGAAATCAGAAGCAAGAGCCAAGCCTAGGTCCGGAGCAGAGCATGAAGGAGCCCTGAGGATCCACAGCAGAATATTCCCCCCAAGCAGAGCACCACAGTGGAGGCATTAAATAACTAGTTTTTCACCATGACTAATTTGTCCTAAAATATAATATGTACATATATAGTCTATTTATTTCCATATGGGAATTTG